TGTAAACAGGAAGATACTATTGTTTTACTAGAGAATCTGCAAAACCAAACATTTACTTTCCCCACTTGAAACTTTCAAGTTTAAAATACACTTTAAACTTTCTATATGAAAAGATGCATAATTGCGCTGAAAATGTAGCAAGGAAATATTCAAAGAATAGGTTTTAGTACGATGGCAGGTTTACATGACACAAGTACATGTACATTCGAAAACGCTGACACTCTTGGCATTGTTGCACATTGATAACAAACCCACAGACCAGAACAATGAATACTGAATAAACATTGTAAGGAAAATAGGGCTGGTAGTTGAGTCAGTTTGTAAGCCATTGTATTTCATTTATTTCAAATTTTGCTCTGGCCGGAAGAGGAATACTGACAAAGTTCCCAACAGAAACATTTCGCACAATATGCATCCTGGTCTTCAAGTGTCAAATAATACCTAAAATGTCTATCAAACGTGGCAGTTACATGTACTTTCAGCCAACACATCCAATGAAAATAAATATCCCCTGTGACAAGGAATATTACTGTAAGACTTGAGCAATGTGCCAACATCTTCCTATCCAAATTGTCTTTACATGTATTGATACATGTCACATAAGTGTAATGCAGCCCTACTGTACTGTACACAGCACAGATACAGCGAGCTCAAAGTGTCAAAGTTCAGTTTTTGGCACAGGTTTACCCAAAAAATTGCACTTGCACGAGTAATTTTTAAAGTGAATTTCTTAATTCACATAATACGGCACAGATGTCAATTTTCTTGCGCACTATGCTGCTGGATCTGAGCGTGTTAGTCAGACCTGTATGTGTGGAAGGTTACAAGGCAGTTTAATTCAGAATGGTCGCGTGGTGCTCAATACAGGTTTTCATGCTGCTGGGTTCATACAGGTACAACGGACAAAAACATCATTACAAAATGATCCCAATTTCAGAAGAACCAAATGTGATAAACCGTTGCACGTGGATCACAAAATTCATTACAAAATGATCCCAACTTCAGAAGAACCAAATGTGGTAAAAAGTTGCGCACGGATCACAATATTTTCAATGAAAAAATTGATGTTTTTATGACACGGTTTTGCTTTCAGATGACTGTAGATCACTGCAGGGAAAAATCAGTGGTGTGGGTTTATGGAATTGTTTCCTACCGGTACCTAGTTCATAAATTTGAGCTTCTCAAGTTCAAGACAGGAAAGAGACTTACCAAACTGCAGAGAGCACAGAAACTTCACAAATTCTGAGTTACATCAAATTGATGATTTGAGACATGACGTACACGTACAGTACATGTAAGGCTGCATGCTGAATTGTGAATAGCACCTGGGAAGAAAATGTCAAAATGGAAAATGCCAGAAATTAACTAAAAGAAACATCTGCACTGCATGAAATGTATCAAGCAACAGGCTTGGAAGTGTATTGAAATGTATGACATCATGGTCTGCAGTACTCGCGCACTGCCAGATTGAAACAATAGTAGATGTATGTACATACATGTACATGTACCGGTATGGTACGTGTACGTACAAGCAACGTACATGTACATGTGTACTTGCTTGGTGTAAGACTCCTTCAATGAATAAGTTTTCTGTCAACATCTCCAGTATGGTACACGCATGTACATACGTGTAAATGTATACCCATGTGAGCGTCTTTTTGTGTCACACGGGATCTGGATCTTGAATAGATCAATCTTAACACTGGTTCACTCCAGCCACTGAGCAGGTTCTGGTGTCAGTAAACAAGTATCAAATCACTGATCAGCATCTGGATCAACCAAATCAAATGGGCCCTATATGGACAGGTATGTTTAACACAACAAAGTGTCTGTCCAATAAAATGCAAAATGCTAGTTCCATCAATTTTTGTTTTGGGAAGAGTTCCATGTATACAGACACCAGTAACTATTTCATACAGTGCTCTATTAATAGCCGTCAGAAAGCAAAAATGTGTCCAGGAAAGTTCAATTTATGAGGGAAAATACCAAATCGTTTATTTAGAAAAGACATTTTTTCAGACCACTATCATAGGGTTTGTGCACAGGGTGTCAAGTGGCATCCGTATATGGAAGTCTTTCCTTTGTTTTCTATTTTACCATATTTGAATTAGAAATGCTAGTCATTGTGCAGGGAGACCAAAACCAGTGACAAATTGGCTATTAGTACTGTTACAGCACCCCATTAGGGCACTGCCAGACAGACAGAATAGGTCCACATGGAAATGGCAAATACACGTACTGGAATGCAATTCCAAACCAGTGACAAATTGGAATACAATCCATTTATCAAATGAAGATGAGAAAGACGGGGGCTGGAGAGGGGCTAACATGTGTACTTTTAGGGGTAGAGGAGAGAAAACACTAAATACCTCTATAACTTAAAAGGCATTTAACGCCTGGTTTATTTAGGAACAGATTTCTTTAAAAATTCAGACTGTTTGAGCTTTAGTTACGTCAGAATTGAGAGGAGAAAACATTGGAATGCTGCAAAGGTGAAATATGTATGATTTTTCAAAGTTAAGGGTAGAGCAACAAAAAGACTCAATACCTCTCTACCTAAATGGTAAAAAATCTAAATACCTGCTCGATTTGAAACATGGACTCTTAAAGAACTGATTTTTTTTTTATTTAGAACTTTTGGACCTTCAGTTATGTTAGAATTCAGAGGTGAAAACATCAGAATGCTGCAAATGCCATGAGGTGAAATATGCACGTATTTTAAAAGTTAAGGGTAAAGCAACGAAAAGACTTGATACCTCTCAAACTCAATGACCAAATATCTAAATACCTACACGATTTGAATTGTGGGCTATGTAGGAACTGATTTCTTGGAAAAATTCTGATTTTTGGACCTTCAGTTATGCTAGAATTTAGAGGGGAAAACATTGGAATGCAGCAAATGAGATGGGGTGAAATTGCATAGGGCATTAACCGCCCATGCTTGAGGATGCAGATAGCGGCTGCAAAATGTCAGCAGCTGAGCGTTCAGGTGCAACGCAAAGAGGTGCAAGTGAGGTCTGTTTATCACCCGAAAAAGAGCTTCAATGATTTCCGGTTGTAGGGCCCACTCTGTCGGGCGAACTGTGCCCCCGGGAGAGGGCGTCGGCAAGGACGTTCTGTACCCCTGAAAAGTGTTCGGCTCAAACCAGATTGGATTGCTGCATGGTCCAGTGTAATAGGCGCCAGGCAAGAACACAGAGAGTTGGAGAACGAGTGCCTCCCTGACGGTTGATGTAGGCAACGGCTGTCGCATTGTCTGGTCAGACCAAGACCGTTTTGCCTGTAATCATAGGCTGGAAGTGGCTGATGAGGGCTTCGAAAATCACCTGAAGTTCAAGCACATTGATGTGGGAACCCACTAGGGACGAGTCCCACCAGCTGGAAATCTGATATGACTGGAGACTGGCACCCCAAGCGAGACTGGAAGCATCAGTGGTGATAACTATCTGGTGTTGAGGTGGAACAAAGGGAAGACCAGCATTGAGGTTAATTGGCCCTGGCTGACCACGACAGGTGATGGTAACTCAGGCCTGATAGATGAACCTATGGCAATCGAGGGAATCTCTGCTCGGCCTGAAGTAAGATAGAAGGTGGAGCTGTAGAGGCCGCATGTAAAGCCGGCACCATGGAATGAGGTCGGTACGGCTGGCCACCAGACTGAGTGGAACCATGCCCGGGCGTTCACTTAGCGTTGTCCCCTGAATAGAGTGAACTACATGAGATTGTCCATGCACTCTTCGGTGGGAATAACAACGCCACGGTTCTAGTCGAGAACTGCCCCGAGGAAAGTCGGTTTTTGTGACAGGGTCAGTCTGGACTTCTTGTAGTTGACTAAGGAACCCTGGCAAGATGCAAGGTCTTACGTTGTCTTGGTCGCCAAGGTAGCCTCGATTTTTGAGCGTCCGACTATCAACCAGTGGTCAAGGGACTGAAATATGAGCACATCTGATCGCTGTAGGTGTAAAGACTCTAGGAGCAGTGGACAGGTTAGGCGGCAGCACGCAGAACTCGTAGACCAGGTGACGATATAAAAAGTGGAGGAATGGTCGGTCTGGTATATGAATGGCAATGTGAAGGTAGGCGTCCTGTAAGTCGATGGACGATGCCCAAGTCGGGACGGGAAGTGATCGTGGGACGGTACGTAGCATCTGCATTCTGAACTTCTTCGGTCTTATGAAAACGGTGAGTGGCTTTAAGTTCAGAATCGGCCTCCACTTCCCCGGTTCCTTCTTTGGGGTCAGAAAGAATGTTGACATGAAGCCCTGGTGATTTTCCTGTAACTGCACCAGAACAATGGCGCACTTCTGCAGCAGCGCTGATATCTCCAACTCCAGAGCCTGTTGCTGGGATTGATCTTTTGGAACTGGAATCGGCCGGAAAGATACATCGGACGGTGGGGGGACTCATAAGTTCCAGATAGCAGTTGGTAAGCGAAGTGAGCACCCATTCGTGCAAAGTAATTTCTCCCTAGAACCCTGCGAAGTTGTGCAGGCGGCCGCCAATGGATTTGAAATTGGGGGCAGCGGGAGAAACCGAGTAGTCACCGGCGCCGGCCACCAGCATATCACTGGGGGTGCCTGAAGAAAGAGGCCGGCGATGTTGAATGATCTGTGGCTGTTGCTGAGGGCCTGTGGAGAGTAGACCAGACGGGGTGATCTCTGGGATGTTGTTCGTACCACAGCACGTCGAGGTTCAGTTGGCTGGCAGAAGGATATCTCCCGGGCGCTGTCAAAATTCTTATTAACATTTGCTCTCCTGAAGGCTAATATACTGGCCTGTGAAAAGATCCTTAGCCAATAGAGGGAGTCCTCAAAGAGCTGATTTCACTGATTTGTGCAGAATTTTCATAGCATCAATGAAAGACTCACGGCTGGATGCAGTGGCTCAAAGAGAAACCAGCATGAATTGTTCCAAGCCCGTTATCAGAGTATCGTTGAGGCTATGGAACGCCATATTAAGGCTATGCGATATGAAAATATATTTCACAATATTTCGATATGTTGATATCGTCTGTAAAAACACACATCGGGATATCATGCAGATCGATATCGTGAATCAAGACTACTGTCATCACAGATTACCAAACAATATGGTAAAATCTATCATTGCAGTCAAAGCTCACCCTCAAAAACATGTCGCTTGTGGTGTTTATTACACAGTTGTTAGATGTGATGCAAAAACGGTTGCTCAAGAGCTCTACAGAGGTCCAAATGTGGCTCAAGTTTTTGATGTTGGAAGTCAAAAAGATCAATGACATCTTTGCAAACCCTGAACCCTCACAGCTCACATGCGATCAAGAATAGCAACTTAGACAAGCTAGAACCTGTTGGATCAGAGAAAATTAAATCTTTTATACCAAATATCACTGTTGGTGTGACAAACCAGAGATCTCACCGGACCCCAACGATAACCAATGTTTATGGTGTAACAAGAAATCTAGCAAAAACCCCAAAGTGAGAGACCACTGTCACATGACAGGGGCCTTAAGGGGCGCAGCCCACGCCAATGGTAACTTACATGTACAACTCAAAGTAGTTCCCAATGAAACACAAATCCCAGTCGTGTTACACAATTTACAAAATTATGACGCACATCTCATCATGCAAGGTGCAAGCCTGAAATGTATTTCAAGGTAATGAAAAAACTGACAAGATTTTTTGCATCCCTCTAAACAGCGAAAAGTATGGCTCGTTTTCTCTAGGCCAGCTTCGATTTATAGACCAGTTTCATTTTATGGCAACGTCGATAGCCAGGCATGTAAAAGCGTGTCCAAAAAACAAACTCAAACGGACTCAAGCACAAGCGTGTGGTGAGCAAAGTTCGCTTCTTTTGATAAAAGGGATCTGTCCCTATGAATACATGGACTCGTTTGAAAGTTTAACATGATACAGCTACATGTACCACCTTGAGTTGCTTTTTATAGCAGTTTAAAACAAAATAGCATCAGCGAATCAGAATACACCCAAACAAAACAAATCTAGCAAATCAAAACAAACTAGCGTCAGTGAATCAGAATACACCCAAGAACAACAAGTCTGGCAAAGCATAACAAAATGGCATCAGC